ATGCTTTTGAACTGTGGTGTTGGAGAAGACTCTTGAGAGTCCCTTGGACTGCAAGGAGATCCAACCAGTCCATCCTAAAGGAGATCAGTCCTGAGTTTTCATTGGAAGGACTGATGTGGAAGCTGAAACTCCAATACTTTGGCCACCTGATGTGAAGAACTGACCTCTTGGAAAAGACCCTGAGGCTGGGAAAGACTGAGGGTGGGAGGAGAAGGGGACGACAAATGATGAGGTGGTTGGATGGTATCACCGACTCAATGGACATGAGTTTGGGTGGACTCTGGGAATTTTGATGGACAGGGAGGCCTGGTGTGCTGTGGTTCATGCGGTCGCAAAGAGTCTGGCATGATTGAGTGACTGAACTGAACTAAACTGAAGGTACATGTTAGCTTTGCTGTTTTTTTTTACCTCCAAATCTACTTGTTCTTTTTCAAACCAGTTGTTCATTGGTGGAGTAAACCAGTGAAGAGTATGTTTTTTACAAATCTTTCTCACCATTAAAACTTCTTAATCTCAAGTTTTAACTACATGCAATATTTAGAAACTTACCCATTTCCATTCTATTTTGCTTAAATACTAGCAATTTTAAAGTTCAGCATGTACTTGCAATAAATTAGAGTTTAATAGTAGAATATTACATTGAAAAAATTACATTTAAAAGCTTGTTGCTTACAGCATTTGAAGAAATTGTAGGCACAGAATGAAATATTGAGTATTACTCTGTATAAGCATTGTATCAGTGAATCCAAGTGAGAAAAGGATAAAGTAATATTAGAGTACCATGTATGCAGCTAATATAAGAGCTGGATTATTATATTCTGCAAGAAAAACATATAAAATTTTAGCTTATGGACTTTAGAAAGATGGTAACGATAACCCTATATGCAAAACAGAAAAAGAGACTCAGATGTATGGAACAGACTTGTGGACTCTGGGAGAAGGCGAGGGTGGGATGTTTCAGGAGAACAGCATTGAAACATGTGTATTATCTAGGGTGAAACGGATAACCAGCTCAGGTTGGGTACATGAGACAAGTGCTCGGGCCTGGTGCACTGGGAAGACCCAGAGGGATCGGGTGGAGAGGGAGGTGGGAGGGGGGACTGGGATGGGGAATACATGTAAATCCATGGCTAATTCATATCAATGTATAACAAAAACTACTGTAATGATGTAAAGTAATTAGCCTCCAACTAATAAAAATTAAAAAAAAAAAAAAAAAAATTTTAGCTTATATGTTTAGGGCTGGGAAAGGTGCATTTTAAAAATTGCCCAGCATCATCATCACAAAATGCTATTAAGAAATCGAATCCATTTTGTTTCAAAGGAAATGTGAGATGGAGTTATTGGCTTCAAGGAGAAATTAAATCCCCTTTTCTATCAGCAATTTGGTATCTATTAAAGAGATGTTTCTATGTTTATAGGCACTCCTATGCCTATTACCTTGCAAGTGGAACTTTAATAAATAAAAGTTCATGAGTTGAAGGAGTTCTCAAAAGCTGTTAGCCTTTTAGAAGGGAAATTTGACTCATGTAGTTTAAGGTTCCTAGTTTGCTAGATGTGGCTTAGCTTAAGATGAACCTGATCTGTGACCATCTTGTGCTTCACTGTGGAATATAAGATGTAAGATAAAATTAATATGGAAAACACTAGCTGTCATTTATTAAGTACCTAGTATGTGATAGCTCTGATATTAGGCACTCAACACTATCATCATTTAATATTTATATCACTATTTTACAAAAGAACCTGCAGCTTGAACAGTTTTAGGGTGTTTCTCAATTTCAAACTGTTAGAAAAGTGAGGTAAAGGTTGAACTCAGGTCTTTTTGGTGCTCCAATAAATACTAAATCATCCATGTGTGCACCTATGGACATTCTAATTTACCTTTGTTGGATATATAGGATTTTATTTTGCACAAAAATAGCCATAGAATGAAAGTGAAGGTCTGAGACAAAGTTCATATCAGAGATGCCAAACATTTAAATAAAAGTCTATTATTTGAATATTTTATCTGTACTGTATATAAATATTGAGACATTTCCAAGTAACTTATATGGTAGCATATAGACAAAAGAGTGGACTGAACTTAGTATTTTTTGTTCAGTTATATTTTATTGTGTTTTACAACCTAAGATATATATCAATAAGTTTTGACTTGCATATTAACTAATCTTACTGTAGTAATTATTTTGCAGAATATACACATATCAAATCATTGGGCTGTACACTTTAAAATTATGCAATGTTAGGTCAACTATCGGAGAAGGCAGTGGCACCCCAATCCAGTACCCTTGCCTGGAGAATCCCAGGGATGGGGGGGCCTGGTGGGCTGCCGTCCATGGGGTCGCACAGTGTCGGACACGACTGAAGTGACTTAGCAGCAGCAGCAGCAGGTCAACTATATCTCAATAAAACTGGAAAAATAGTTTGACCAACAAAACAAATGAACACTAGTTTTACAACTTCATTTCCTTACTGAGCTATGAAAATATGAGAAAGCCTCTTGCTAGCTTTGCTTTTCCTGAGTAAATATAAAGCCTAATTTCTACAGTTTATGCAGTGATACAATGTTAGATAAAATCCAATTATTGTGAGTCTTCAGAAGAACCGGAAATACATTGTATTCTTAGACGTTATCTTCCAATCAAAATATAAAGGAAATCTCTGTTATGCTAGATCCTGCTCTAAAGTTAGCCTAATGAGAAGCAACAGGAGGAAGGTGATCAGCCACAAAGATGCATATGGTGACAGGAAAGGAGGAAATGGCCCAGGGAAGCAGGGAAGGGTTAATCAGGCAATTTGCCCAAGGAAAAGCAGGATGGGATGAACTCACAATGACCGAGTTAGAAATGGGTTTGAGGGAAGGGAGAACAAGGGAGAAACCTAGAGCTTTGGGGAGCTTATAAGGGATTAGGACTGTAGGCACATGGCTAATGTAACTATGTAAAGAAAGGGTTAGAGCATAGAACTGAGTTTATTACTCATTGTGAAATGCAGGTGAGAAGTGTGATAAGTTGAAAGCATGATGCTTCCTAGATTCTGGTTTAAATATATATGTGGTTGCTATGGCCTTTTAGAAGGCTGCTGTATGATTATTGACATTCTGTTTGTACCATAGTAGAATTGTATTATGATGATAGAATTAGTAGGGGAGACATGTATAAAACTGCTTTCAAGGCTTCCTTGTGTGTGGTATTTTCTGTGTGTGATAATAGATTTCATTCCCATAATTCTTCAGTGATGGAAAAAAGCAGAATGAAGTGAAACGTATTTTAAAATATTTCTGATGATATCAAGAAGAAGAAATTCATCTAGCGAGGGAGCTGGGCTTTCAAGAGCTCCCCAGAGGGAGAGCAAACCTATTTTGCTTTAAAAGCACCGGTACATCCTTGTTGGCGGGCACCACATGCAACTCAATGGCTAAGAGTCAAGGGGGAAGGTAAGTGCTTATACAGTCTTGGACTTATACTGAATGAGACTTTCTTTTCAGGCTCCTCTCTGCAGCAAGGGGTTCCTGGGATACGGTTTTTAAACCACTCTTCTTATCTATTATGGTCCACAACAAAGACTTCCATGCCTCCTTTTTCTGGATGTCAGTTGAGCAGCTAGTCGCTTGCATTAGTCCATTTTCTGCTTTGAGCACATGGGACTGGAGGTGAAAGTCAAAGAATCCAGTGTTTCAGATTTTTTTTTTTTTTTAAATCATGTTTTGAATGACAGAGGGAAGAGCCCGGGGAGGGACTTAGGTAGGGTTTAGATTTGTGGGTAAATGCTCACATGGTAGGAGAAGGAAATGGCAACCCACTCCAGTATTCTTGCCTGGAGAATCCCATGGACAGAGGAGCCTGGTGGGCCACAGTCCAAGGTGTCGCAAAGAGTCGGACACGACTGAGTGACTAAGCACACAGCCCAGGCTCACGTGGTAAGTGACTAAACGGTGTCCTGGCAACAATATGGGGTTGGGCATTGGGAGATCTGCTTCTGCCGTCACTTGCTCTTCAGCCTTGGGTTAGAATGAATGGTATCTGGGACTCTCCTTGCTTATTTGCTCAATGGCTGGGTTCATGCAGCACACGTGATTTTTCACATATCTAAAAACTTTCAATATATTACAATAAAGAAAAGATCCTTATAGCAATCACAGGAGATGATATGGATGTTTTGCTAGCATAGATAGTTAACTCTAGAGATTCTGATCAATATAAGGTAGTCTTTCTAAACAAAATCCATGTAATATTTTAGTGATCTTTTAGGAATAAACCCCACAAAGATGACCTTCCTTCTTGTACTCATGATCAGGTGAAAATTCTGATAATACCTACCAAGGAAAAAGAGATAAATAAGATAAAGAATAAAAGAAAAAAATTACCTTGAGGATGGGATATGCAATTCCAAGAAATCAAGCAAAAATTCAAAGAAATAATATACCATGCTATCGCCCATATTTTTTGTGAACCCTGTGCATCAGAATCTCCTGGGGTGGTTGGAAGAAGAAAGTGAGTCAAAATGTAGATTTCTAGGCCCTAGATCAGAATGATTGAGCCAAGACCTCTGAGTGGAACCCAGAATTTGCATTTTCACAAGCCTTTGAGATGAACCTTATGGTCTCTAGTGCTTGACTGTCAATGCATTTGGCTTTGAGATTAATCCATCTCATTTTCACACTTTTCTTTTCTTTCTAGTTTTATTGAGATATAGTTGACATATAGCACTGTATAAGTTTAAGGAGGTACAGAATAATGATTTGACTTACAAACATCATGAAATGCTTACCACAGTACGTTTAATGAACACCATCATCTCATATAGATACAAAATTGAAGAAATACAAAAAAATTCCTTGTGATGAGAACTCTTAGGGTTTACCCTTAACTTTCATATACAATGTTCAGCAGTGTATTAATCATGTTGTATACTACTAATACCTCACCAGCACTTATTTATTAATGAATTTGGCTTTGAGATTAATCCACCCCAGTTCCATACATTTCTATATATTAATTGCATATATTTAGCAAATATGGTGAGAGAAGGCTCTCATTCTTAAAAAAAATAAAAGCAATGAGCATCTTTAGTTTACCACCTGTGAAGCATTTTAATTTGATCTTGAAGTAAGTGACTACTTTATTGTCAGGTAAACAGAAATAGAATGACATCTTGGCTCTATAACACTGATGTATTATGCCTATGTGCATTTCTGATGTCGTTTACTAGATACAGAGGAAAGAAAATGGCTTTGGAGGCAAATGAAGGATTCAGAATCTCTTTGAGTCTTAGTTTTTTCCCCTGAAAGACAGAACAATTAATAACAGTTTGAGGGTTTTGTAAATGTTAACTGAAATGGAATATGTAAAATTCCTAGCCTAATGCCAACACACAGCAGCAGACATTTGAGAATGCTAGCTATCCTTATCTTACTATGTTTTGTATTCAGTGATAACGTCAATGGCGCATGTGGGCATTTTTGGATTTTATAGCTACAGTGACTACCTGCGGACCCTGCTGCTATCTGCAGCACTTAATTTTATTTTCAACATCCCACAGATATTTAATCAAACCTCTGTATCCCATGTCAGGTTGATATCTTTCCCTTACCTTGGTTTCCTCATAATCATATCACATTTCCCATTGTCATATTGTCTGAAATTATGTGTCAGAGCTGTATAAACTCTGACTCTTTTCTGCTAGAATCATCCACACTATTAAAAACTGTTTGGGTTATTTGATTATATGTCTTATTATTAATACTTTTAAAATGCTATGTCTAGGATTTTTGCTTTATTAATCTTTACTTTGCTGTAATTGTTATTTGATTGACTTGTAGGTGAATGTAATAGCAATGCTTATAAACAAGGATGTGATGTTTAAAGTGTGCTAATGTCTCATTCAAATGTGTATACAATCAAATCTCAGTATTCAGAAATCATCATGTACCTTATATATGTTATGATAAGTCACAGATAAGGCTCAAGAAATTCTACATCCACCCTCTCTCGCTGCCCTTTCTCCCACTGAGCAGAGGTTTAATCAGTAAGGGCTACAGCCATTCAATATTTTAAATTAAGTTTTTCAACAAGAAAAAAATGAAACAAAAGTGATTTTCAAATTTATCTTTGGTCAGTGAAAGAATATACAGAACTAAAGTGAACTCTCTTGAATCATCATTTACCCCACTTCTTTGTAATTTCATTAACAATTTTAAGAAATGTTTCAATAAAATTTTAAATTCTAGATTGAGACTCTAGTTATACATAGTGCAAGTTGTTATTCATATAAAGTGTCAATCTTTGGTATTTATCTGTTATTTTTATCAAACATTCAACATTCTGGAAGATTTCAGGATTAATTAATAATAAACCAATTCTCAGATGAGAGAAGGCAATTTAAGCATTCAAGAAAAGCTGATGTGATTCTGACTCAGGACTTGTCCTAACAATCACAGCACTTCTGAAATGTTCTAATTGGATGTATGTCTGTATAAATCCCTTAAAGTAAGTACATACAACTGTTATTTTTATTCTATTTGAGGATACAAAGGGTTTTAATTGGAGTACCAATTTTCTACAGCTATAACTTCCTTAGAATTATAGCTTTGTTGTTAAAAATGTGTCTCATTGATAAAAGACTCAAGTTCATAGGGGAAAAAAAACCTGTTCTATTCTGTTTGAAAACATTAACAGTTATTTTCCAATTTAAAGAAATTGACTTCTTGAGCCTAATTCAGTTGGGCGAAATATAAGAATTTAAAAGTGGAATCCAATTATCTCAAACTTGTACACTTTGTTGAAGAGCTATTAAATTGGAAAAATTCTGAGCTTTTTTCAGAAGGTACATTTAAGCTTTCTGTTGACAATAAATGAAAAATAAAAATAACTGTAAAAGGAAAACCTTGACAGATTAATCATATCATCTTCACAATTGAGGTTTTCTATACAAACAAAACTATGCTCTGTTCCTGACCTAGACATTTATAATATCTTTCTGTCTGCAAACTTATTTTCCTATTTATTACAAATACAATTCCATTAACAGAGTTTGGTCACTAGGTGGCTCCATTTAGCTTTTTAAAAAAGCAGTGTTCTATGAGCACCTCTCTGATTTTGGAGCATTTCTGTTTTCCTCATTTCATCTCGCTTTTTTTTTTTTTTCCCTTTGTATCACATACAGTCTGTGTAGCTTAGTTGCAAACCATTAGCTGTATGAAATTAGAGCTTATGTGCAATGTGTTGCCAACTCCTCTGTCGAGTCAACAAATAATGAAAGGTGACAGATGACAATTCTACAGGACTATGGTTACTGGCAGGGTGCCATTGCTCGGGGCCTGGATCCTTAGCAAAATTATTTCCAGTCTTATTCTCTCACTTCAGAGTGCCATTTGAGCATCAAGTCATAGTCCCTGTAATGAGAGAAAGCCCCCCAAATATATGAAAGGCAGATGGATTTCTTTTTAAATTCCTGAGAAATTCCTGATCTGAGAGGAAAGGTGTGACCTAGTGGAAAATGCCCCAGACTGGGAGTTGGGACCCATGAAGTCTAGTTTGGGTTTTGGAAGGTAGTTAATTCAACTATTCCCATCCCCCTGAATCTCAGTTTATTCATTAATATAGTGCAGGGGTTGGACTGGATAATTTTTGTAATCTCTTCTAGTTTTAATATTTTAAGATGGGTGATATACCCAAAAGGATTCCTTAAATAGAAGTGGACTTGTTATGTAGATATTATTTATTTCTTAGGTCATAAAAACTCCTGAGATTTTTGTGGTATAATTTCTCTAGCTCCAGTGCCCCAAACAGTACCTGGCACATAGAAAACACAACATATACATTTAAATGAATAAATGAACTGCCCAGAAGTACAGAATGATGGAGATGACAAAGCAGTGTTGGTTTTCCAAAGTCCTACTTCATCTCTCTCTCTGGCTGGGCCTCCACTTTCTATCCTTAAAGTTACAGGTGCCTACTGATAAAGGCAAGTCAGCTGACAATGCAGTTGCTCTTTCTGAAAAGAAAGTGAAAGTTTCTAGGCTTTCTCTGTTAACATCAGTCTGTTATTCAGATGGAAGGATTGCCATTGTAAATGCTTTAGAAGGCAAAGCCCATCTGTAGCAATAGATCTGAAGTCCTAAAGTCTGGCAGTGAAAATCTACGGACAGAGTGCTATAACAGAAACTAGTTGAGACACCCCCATTATGTTAACCCTTATTCAACTCTTTCTTTCCACCCATTCAAGCGGTCTCCTACAGATGCTTTTTGCCCTCTCTTTCTTGCTTAATTGCACTCTGAAAATGATTGCCCTCTAGCTAAAGTTGTACTAAGCACCTGATGTTTATTTCTCCAAGACAACAGTCCTGTCCTTTGTGAGCATTTTTCACTCCAGAAAGAAAATCACGGGATGACACCCTTGAGGATCATCAGAACCTGTTTCAGAGCCACCTGACAC